TTACTGTTTGCTGTTCAATTTTCTTGTCCTTCTCTTTATATCTTTTGTCATTCTTCCCACCGGCAAATTATCATACCTTTCATTCCTCATTTCATTTAGATTTAGACTTGTGTACTGCCATCCAGCACACCTTTTATGTGCTTTTATTCGATCGATTTCGTCATTGGTTACTGAAAATCGTTGCGAGCCAAGTTCTGCCGTAGTCTCCCCTCGTCGATGACTATCACTTTATCGCCTTCGTTTTAAGCCTGGAATGGACTCTTGACCTTGGATTCGGGTGTATGGGCGGTGCAGCACGGTTGCATATACACGTATACACACACACGAACACGCACACGCTTCCTCACACGAACACTCAAACATGCACACACACACAGATGTTATATATACCACTAATTCCATAAATGCGTGCATGTATGCATGTATTTATGTCCGTTTCCGTATGTGTCACTCCTAGACTAGGAAACCGCGTTCCCCCCACCCCCCCTCGTTTTCATTCCTCCGCGGCTGACCCTCGACCATGCGGCGTTCTGTCCGTTGCGCCGGATGTGGTCGACTCCTCGTCGTATCACAGGTAGTCGATAGGGAGTATGGAATTATCGACTCTTCACCTCCCTTCTTCCCTCTCCTCGCTTCCACTTCACATTCTTCTTCCCTTTTGCTTTGTCGCTTTTCTTCACTCTTTTCCCCTTTTATTTTTCCTCTTTTCTTCACTCTTCTCTCTTTTTAATTTGCCTCTTTTCTTCCTTCTCCTTTCTTAGGTTCTTTCCTCTCTTTTTTTTACATTTCGTCTCCGTTCTTTCCTCTCCTCCCTTACACTTTTAGTCCCCCCCCCCCTTTCCTTTCCATACCCCTCTTCTTTCTTTCTATTCCTATTTCCCCTCTCTTTTCCTTCTTCCGACTTCCCTTCTTGATCCTCCCCCTTCTCCTCCTTCTTCTCCTACTTCCTTTCTCCCTCTTCTCTTTACCACTCTCTCTCTCTCTCTCTCTCTCTCTTCCCCCATCTTCCCCACCTTCACCCCTCCCTTCCCATTCCCCTTCCGTCTCTCCCTTACTGTCCCTCCTTCCTTTCTGTCACTTTCCTCTCCCTCCTCGGGTTTCTCTCCCTTCCTGCTTCTTCTCCCTCCTCTCCACCCCCCACTCCCCCTCTTTTATTCCCCTTCCTCCCCCACCCCGATATAAAAAGGAAGTGAACCGAGAGACGGACATTCCTGGCAGCTGTTGTGTCTGTTGGCAAAGTGACCTAAAAAACCTGTTGTGGAAATCGATACTACTGTTTTGTGACCTCGATGGTTTGACCTCCCCCCTCCCTTCCCCCCCTTCGCGCTCTTCCCCGTGACCTGGCTTGACCTCTGTGGTTCGTTTGGGAGTTAGTGGGCAGTGACTAATGGGGATTCTTTTTTGTTTTATTTAACTTTTATTTATTTATTTTTCTGCGTTGGTGTGGTACGTTTTCGGTGGTGTGTGGGAGGGAGAGGGATTGAGGGAAGGGGGTGGGAGAGGTAGAGGTAGATAGATAGGTAAAGAGAGAGAGAGAAGAGAGCAGAGCCAGTCAGAGACAGAAAGGGAAAGAGAGAGAAAGAGAAAGAAAAAGAAAAAGAAAATAACATAGGTCGCGTCTCCTTCCTGTCCGGGAACGAAGGTGAGAAACGGTGCGTGCGTGTGTGTCTGTCTGTCGCCTCCCACAGATGATAGATTGCGGTAGTCGGGAGGTCAGCGCGGGCCCTTAAAGGTACACAGCGCGTCGTGACTTTACATTTTAACACGCGTGCAAAACGGTGCACTTTGTTTTAAAGGCATGGGAGTGACTGCGTCTTTTGATGTTGCTGGTAATTTTATATAAACACTCCCCCCCTTCCCTTCGCTCCCTTTCCTCTGTTTCATTATATTTCTCTCTCTTTCTTCTGCCTCCTGTTTATCTCCCTTTCCTCTGCCCCCTGCCATTTCTCTTCCTTTCTTCTGCCTCCTTCCATTTCTCTCCCTTCCTTTCTCTCCTTCCCACTTCCTTCCATTTCTCTCCCTTCCTTTCTCTCCTTCCCACTTCCTTTCATTTCTCTCCCTCCCCTCTCATTCCTTTCATTTCTATTCCTTCCCACTTCTCCTCCCATCTCTCCGTTCCTCCCACTCCCCTCTTTTATTCCCCTTACCCCATCCCCCTAAAAAAAATTACACGCTTTAAGCTGAAGAAAAAAGTTACTAAATCCCATGTTCTCAAGAAAACAGTGCTCCATAGTAGCTGTATGTTCAACTTTATGCTATAAAGTTTATGGATAGCTATAACTGTGTGTTAAAGCTGGGCTATAAAGTATATAGCAAATTATGAACCTTAAACCCCACACGAGAACCGTCTCTTTGTGGTCTTTGGTATAAATTATTTAGGTTCGGTTGCCATTTGTGTTATTATTATTATTTTTTTATCTGTTTGTTCGATTTTTTGTCATGTGTGGATTCGGAAATGTAAAGTTTTCATTTGCTCTTATGTTTTTGTTGTTGGTGGTGTTGTTGTTTTTTTATTATATTACTTTGTAATATTCTAAAAGGCTAAAGTTACTGTTGTTGTTGTTTAGGTGTTGTTAGAGTTTTAAGGTTTGGGTAGTTGTTAAGGGATTATCGACTTTAAGGGCGCGTAGAAAAAAGGAGCGAGCGAGATCTGGTGTTGCGCGTGGGCTGGAGACGGTAGCATTATCCTGTTGGTTAGAATTTTTGGCTTTTGCGTGTGTGTGTGTGTTTTTTTCGCTGGTATTACGAAAACGGAGAGAGAGAGGAGGGGGGTAGAGGAAGGTAGATAAGAGGGGGGGGGAAGGAAAATGAGGGTGGTAAGAGAGGGTGAAAAGGGAGAGAAGAGAGAGAGGGAAGGGAGTTAAGAGAGGTAGAAAATGGAGAGAAGGAAAAAGGGAGGAAAGAGAGAGAGAGAAAGAGAGAGAGAGAAAGAGAGAGAGAGAGAGAGAGAGAGAGAGAGAGAGAGAGAGAGAGAGAGAGAGAGAGAGATGAGGATGATGATGCAACCAGTAGTTAAACTTAGCTTTAAAGATGGATAGACACGAGGAGAAGGCGAGGGAGGGTGAGGGGGTGGAGGGAAGAGAAGAAGGGGGTAGGGGAGGTGGTGGGGGGGAGGAGGGACGAGCTAGAGAGGGAGAGGAGAAGAGGAGGGGAATTAGAGAGAAGGAGAGGAGGGGAAGGGAACAGAGAGAGCTAGATAGGTAGGAAGACAAGGAGAGGGGAGAGATAGAAAGTATAGATGAGGGGGGGGGGGAGAGGCAAGCCAGGCGTACCCATCAATAGTTCCCGTATGGCACCTTAGCGAGGAAGTGCCATCCCGGTGCCAGTTTTTTTCCCTTGAGGTCAACCTGGCCCTTCCATCTCTTTGCTCTCCTGCCTTGGGTCGAGTCGGCAAACATTAATTTTGTTCGTGGGCGAGTGGGCGGCCGGGCGTCTGCTTTGTATGTTTATTTTTCTCTTTATTTTAATCTTGTTTATTTGTTGTTTTTGTTATTGTTATTACCATTTATTATTATTATTATTATTATTTTATTATTGTTATTATTATTATTATTATTATTATTATTATTACTACTAGTAAAATAATAATAATTATTGTTATTGTTATCATCATCACCATCAGTCATTATTAATTTTGTTAGTAGTAGTAGTATTTATCAGTTCCTATTATTATTTTTTTGTGTGTAACAAAGGGAGGCAGACCTAATGTTTTGTTGAACTTGGCCATTCCCTCGCTCACCTCCGTTCCTCTCTCGCAAATGCTCGCCCACGCACGGAACCCATTTCGTTAAGATTCACATCAAAGGTGCCTCTCTCTCCCCCTCCCCCTCCCCCTCATTCCCTCCTCCCTACGCTCTCCCTCTCTCCCTCCCTCTCCTGTTTTCGCTCTCTGCATCTCCCTTCTTCCCTCTCTCCTTTCTTCTCCTTTAACCCCCCCCCAACATCCCCAACGTACCCCTTCCTCAGTCCACACATCTCGCGGCGAGAAGTCGGTTGGTCGGTTAGTCGGCCGGTCATTCAGCTGGTCGGGAGAATTTATTTAGGGAAAGCCTTTTCCGTCCCTCTGAGATTTTCACGAGGCCGGCGCGCCTTGGCCTCTTCGTTAACATGTTCGGAACGTGTATCGGGAGCTTCGACTTGTATGCGTTCGTTCAGCTGTCTTTTGTTGTGTTGTGTGGGTTGAATCGGAATGTGGATTTTGAGTTTTTTGTTTTTTGTTTTGTTTTCTTTTCTTTTCTTTTTTTTCTCTTCTTTTCTTTTCTTTTCTTTTCTTTTCTTTTCTTTTCTTTTCTTTTCTTTTCTTTTCTTTTCTTTTCTTTTCTTTTCTTTTCTTTTCTTTTCTTTTCTTTTCTTTTCTTTTCTTTTCTTTTCTCCTCTCTCTCTCTCTCTCTCTCTCTCTCTCTCTCTCTCTCTCTCTCTCTCTCTCTCTCTCTCTCTCTCTCTCTCTCTCTCTCTCTCTATATATATATATATATATATATATATATATATATATATATATATATATTATTACGGTGTTTTGGATTAATTATTTTTGTTGTGAGATGGATGTAGTGTGTGCGCGTGCGCGTGCGCGTGCGCGCGCTGTGTGCGTGTTTGTCCGTACCGTGTTTTTATTGTTTGGTTGAGCGGACGTGCCTCGAGAGAGAATGTCTGTTTATTTACTCTCTTGAAGTGACCAACTCTTGTATCTTTTTCTACATTGTTTTGTTTAGGGTTCTATGTATTAACTTTTGAAGTGCTATTTTTTCTTGTTTTTTACCGGTATATTTTCTGCCTTGAAGTGACTAGCTCTGTAACTTTTTCTTCATTATTTAAGTTACTCATCTTTTTTTCTTTGATATTTTGTTTTCTTTGCTCAATATTGGAAACAATTAATAATATTCCGTCTTTTCTACCCTCATCTCATCTATCTTTTCTCAATTTGTTTGTTATTCAGTAATCATTGATAATTATCAGTCCTTTCCTATATCTAACGGCGATATTTGTTTTCTTTCCAGATTACCTCTGCTCTCCAGAAGCCAACGTCTACGATATAGATTTCACACGGTTCAAAATTCGCGACATGGACACCGATACGGTTTTGTTTGAGATCGCGAAACCTCCGCCACAAGGTAGGGGGAGATTCTGAATTTACTGTTTGTTTGTATTGTTGTTGTTGTTTCTCACTTTCTGTTTTCTCGGTTTTTTTTTTCTTTTTCGCTCTCTCTTTTTTTATTTCTTTCTTTCTCTCTTTCTCTCTTTCTCTCTTTCTCTCTTTCTCTCTTTCTCTCTTTCTCTCTTTCTTTCTCTCTTTCGCTCTTTCGCTCTTTCGCTCTTTCGCTCTCTCGCTCTCTCTCTCTCTCTCTCTCTCTCTCTCTCTCTCTCTCTCTCTCTCTCTCTCTCTCTCTCTCTCTCTCTCTCTCTCTCTTCTTATCTTTTCCTCCCTCTTGTATACCATACAAGTTTTATGTTGGGTGTTCATATTTACTGTACCACTCGAGCATAAGGAAGAACAATTGGACGTACGCCTTGAAGAGCCGTTTAAACTCTACGGATTTCGTTACCCACGTTTAACATCGGGTGTGCGAATGACGGTTAAGAATATCCTATTTCAGTGTTATTCACTAATTTTTTCAAGAGAGCCAAAAGTTCAGGGCATATTCAGATTGAGAGCCACATGCCTCGTAATCTACAAGGATTAGTATTAGCAGAACAAAATATATACAAAGTATGGGTCGCCGAGCACTGGATTTTACGTAACCTACACGTACAGTTCCTGTGCGGAAGGAGCGTCATTTCTCTCTCTCTCTCTCTCTCTCTCTCTCTCTCTCTCTCTCTCTCTCTCTCTCTCTCTCTCTCTCTCTCTCTCTCTCTCTCTCTCTCTCTCTCTCTGTTTTGCCACTCAGGTCTTGGCGAGCCGCCACTGGCTCGTGAGCCGCGCAATGAAGACCACTGTCCTATTTGTTGAATTTGATTTTTGTAAATGTTTACTCTATATGGTATATAAAATACACACACACACACACACACACACACACACACACACACACACACACACACACACACACACACACACACACACACACACACACACACACACACACACACACACACACACATGTATATGTATATGTATATATATACACATATATGTGTATATATATCTATATATATACACATATAAAACACATACATACAATTATACGTATATACCCATACATATATATATATATATATATATATATATATATATATATATATATATATATGTGTGTGTGTGTGTGTGTGTGTGTGTGTGTGTGTGTGTGTGTGTGTGTATGTATATATATACACACTTATATACATATATATCATTTTTATATACACATACATACATACATACATACATACATACATACATACATACATAATACATAATACATGCATATGTAAATATACATGCCGGTGCATGTGTGCTTGATTGCGCGTGTTTATGTTGGTAGGGTTTTAAGCGTTTGTTTATTTGTCTTATCTGTCCTTTCCCCGCCGAACAAGAGATTATTCCCCTTAACGCCCTGGCGATTCGCTATCTCGCGGGGAGTGCCTTTGAGGGGCGGCAGGAACAGCAACGGAATTGAGTGAGGCGCTTGTGTTGTGTTGAGGGAACGAGGGAGAGAGAGAGAGAGAGAGAGAGAGAGAGAGAGAGAGAGAGAGAGAGAGAGAGAGAGAGAGAGAGAGAGAGAGAGAGAGAGAGAGAGAGGCGGGGGGGGGGGCGAAGAGGCGAGGGAGAGGGAGGGCAGTGGAGAGGGAGAGGGAGGAGATGGAAGGTGGAGAGGGAGAAGGAGAGGGAGCAAAGAGGAGAGAGAGAGAGGAGTGGGAGAGGAAGGGAAAATGAGAGGAAGTGGGAAAGAGAGAGGGAGGTGGGGGGCAGGGATTTAGAGGGAGAGGAAGAGGGAGAGGGAAAGAGAAAGAGAGCGAGAAGTAGGGAGAGGGAAAGGGAAAAAGAAACAGAGGGCAAAGAATTTGCAGTGTAGAGAGGTGGGGGGATGTATGAGGGAAAGGAAAGGGAAGAGGGGAAGGGAATAGGAGGGACGGAAGAAGGAAAGAGAGGAAGAGAAGAGAAGGGACAGGAGGAGGGAAGGAAGAAGGGGTTGACGGTGATAGAAGGCAATTGCAGAAAGAGAGGAGAGAGAGGAGGAGCGAATGAAATAGATGAATTGGCAGAAGAAAGAAATAGATGAATTGGCAAATAGAATAAATGCGTAAGTGAAATAAACTAAACAAAACAAGAAGGAAAAGCATAGCAGTAAAAAATGCAAACGAATCGTCTTAACAGCAACAATAACAACAACAACAACAACCAAACTGAACTCCAGGGACAACTCGTACGATTTCCTCCTCCAGCGGCCGCACGGGATCAGTGACCCTCGTCCTGTTATTTGTACGTTTGTGTGCTGTTCATGTACTTCAGTGGGTGGTGGTGGTTGGTTGGTGGTGGTGCTGGTGGTGGTGGTTGTGGTTGCTTGGTGGTGATGTGGTAGTGTGGTTTGTGGTAGTGGTGTTAGTTGTTGTTAGTTAATTTTGTTTGCTTTTTTTCTTTTCTTTTCTTTTTTTTTAGCTATTTTTTGGTTGGGATGGCGCTTTTGTTATCGCTGTTGGTGGTGGTGGTATTGCGGTGGTGGTGGTTGTTCGTGGTGGTGATGTTGTTGCCGCTGCTATTACTGCTATTAATATTCTGTTATCATCGGTACCATTGTTCTTCTGATCGTTCCTTGATAAAATTCCGTTCATATGATCACGATCATTAACGAACGTCTTTGTCTCGCTATTCCTGTGGTCATATTTATAGACATTTCCCTTTTGTTGAAGAGGTTTGGAGGGGATGTTTTGCCCGCTTGGTCCTTTCGCAAGATGGCTTGAGTTGCTCGCTCGGACTATCAAGATTCTCGGTTTGTATTTCTGTCTCCTCATTACTGGCGGATTGCTGTCCTTGAGGTTTATTTTGAGTTCTTCTTTGGATGTTTTTACTTCCCACTTTTTTTTTTTTTGCTTGTTTTTTTCTTTGTATTCATCATTATCTCTAGATATTAACTTTTCTTTGTTTTCTTTCTCTTCTTCCTTCTCCTCCACCTCTTTCCTCCCCCTTATCCGTCTCCATCTCCTCCTCCTCTTCCTCCTCCCCCTCCTCCTCCTTCTCTTCCTCCTCCTTAATCATCTCCATCTCGCCTTCCTCCTACTCTCTTTCCTCCTCCAAATCCTCTTCTTCCCTCCCTCCCTCAATCCACCCCCCTCCCCTTCCCTCCCTCTACTCCCCTCCCCTTCTCCTTCCCTCCTTCAATTCACTTTCTTTTTTCCTACTCTCCTTCCTTCCCTCTACTCCCCTCTCCCCTTCCTCCCCTTTACCTCCCTCCTTCAATTCACTTTCTTTTTTCCTACTTTCCTTACGTCCCTCTACTCCCCTCTCCCCTCCCTCCCCCTTTCCCTTCTTTCCCCATTTCTTTCTTCCAGCCTCTGAATTCATCAAGACTCGAGCGGCCGCAGTGAAACCAAATGTGTCAGATGCAGATAACGATTTTCCGGAGGTTTTCGTTTAGTTAGTGCTTGAGGAGAAAAGGGGGGGGGGGGCAGAGAGGGAGGGAAGTGGGAGAGAGGGAGAGGAGGTAGGAGAAAGAGGGAGGGAGGGAAGGAAGGAAAAGTAAGGGAAAGGAGAGAGGGAGGGAGGGAAAGGAGATACGAAAAAGACAGATGTAGGGGAGGGAGAAAAGTGGGAGAGAGGGAGAGGAGATAGGAGAAAGATGAAGTAAGGGAAGGAAGGAAAAGAAAAGAAAGGGAAAGGAGAGAGGAAGTGAAGGAGGGAGGGAAAGAAGATACGAAAAAGATAAAGTAAGGCAAGGAGGGAAAAGGAGGGGAGAGAGAGAGAGGAATAGGAGGGAAAAAGGGAGGGAAAAGAGAGAGGAAGAGAAAGTAGATATGAAAAGAAAGAAGGAAGGGAAGGAGGGAAAGGGGGGGGGCGGAATAGTAAGAAGGGGGATAAGGAAAAATGAGAGAAAAGAGAGAGAAATAAGACAGAGAAAGAGAAGGAAGGAAAAAAAAATGGACGTGTTAAAGGAAGAGAAAAGAAATGAAGAGCAATCGACCATGCATTAAAAATGGTGAACATCTTAAGTGAACAATGACTCGGCGAACGTTGAAAGGGGACGTTCAGGCGGGCCGGAGGGTGGGCGGTGGGCGGTGAATGGGCAGGGGGAGGAGGAGGAGGGGGAGGAATTGGGAAGGGGGAAGAGGGGAGAGGAAAGAGGGGAGAGGAAAGAGGGGAGAGGAAAGAGGAAGGAGGAAAGAGGAAGGAGGAAAGAAAGGAGGAAAGGAAAGGAGGAGGAGGAGGAGGAGGGAAGGAAGGAGGAGGAGGAGGAGGAGGAGGAGGAGGAGGAGGAGGAGGAGGAGGAGGAGAGGGAGAGGAGAAGAAGGGAGGAGGGAGAGAAGGAAGAAGAGGAGGAGGAGGAGGAAGGGGGGGGGAAAGGGAGGAGGGGGACATCGGAGGACAATCCGACCCTCGTTCAAACTTTTCCCGGAAGGATTGCTGCCTCGCTCTTGTGAGAAAAGGTGTTTGTTCGTCGCGCGGGAAGGGCCGGTGGCGTTCGGCGAAGAAGCGCTGCTTTGGAGATGGCAGGGGGGGGGGGGGGAGCAGAGGGGAGTAGGGGGTTTGGGGCGGCGGGGGAGGGGGTTCGTGGGAAAGGGATTGCTTTGTTGCTCCCCGTTCGGAATGGCTGGGTTGCTCGGGCGTTTCTTGTTGCTGGGTTTGGAGTGGGGGTCTGCGGGCGGGGGTGCAAGTGTCTTTGGAAATGGCAACTGCTTCTGTGTGTGTGTGTGTGTTTGTTTGTTTGTTTATCTGTGTGTGTGTGGGGGGGGGGGGGATGGGGTGTTGTGTTGTGTGCTTGAAACGGGTTTTGTTGTGTTCTGGATTCATTTTTACCGCAATATTGATACGACAGCGTAGAATGTAGCCTTCGTTTTGTTGTTATTTCTTGTTATTGTTATTGTCATCGCCAGTTGACCACAACCGCTTTATTTAGCGTCATTATTCCCACTGCGGAAGTTATTTGCCGCATTCCCGGTGCTCCAGCGTTCAGATTCGCGCTCTAATGCAACCCACTAA